AAGGAAGAAAAAGAAAAGAAAATATCAAAAGAAAGAAAGAAAGAAAGAAAGAAAGAAAGGAAATCAAAGGAAAGAATCAAAGAAAGAAAAAAATATCAAGGAAAAGAAAGAAAGAAAGAATCAAAGGAAGAAAGAAAGGAATGATCAAGGAAAGAAAGAAAGAATCAAAAGAAGAAAGAAAGAAAATATCAAGGAAAGAAAGAAAGAAAGAATCAAAGGAAGAAAGAAAGGAATGATCAAGGAAAGAAAGAAAGAATCAAAGGAAAGAAAGAAAGAAAATAAGGAAAAAGAAAGAAAGAAAGAAAGAAAGAAAAAAAGAAAAGAAAAAATCAAGGAAAGAAAGAAAGAAAGAATCAAAGGAAGAAAGAAAAAAATAAGAAAGAAAAGAAAGAATCAAAAGGAAGAAAGAAAGGAATGATCAAGGAAAGAAAGAAAGAATCAAAGGAAGAAAGAAAGAAAATATCAAGGAAAGAAAGAAAGAAAGAATCAAAGGAAGAAAGAAAGGAATGATCAAGGAAAGAAAGAAAAAAAAAGAATCAAAAGAAAAAAAGAAAGAAATGATCAAGGAAAGAAAGAAAAGAATCAAAGGAAGAAAAAAAAGAAAAAAGAATATCAAGGAAAGAAAGAAAGAAAGAATCAAAAAAAAAAGGAATGAAAGAAAGAAAGAAAGAATCAAAGGAAGAAAGAAAGAAAAATCAAGGAAAGAAAGAAAGAAAGAATCAAAGGAAAAGAAAGAAAAATGAGGAAAGAAAGAAAGAAAGAATCAAAGGAAGAAAGAAAGGAAATGAAAAAGAAAGAAAGAAAAAGAATCAAAGGAAGAAAGAAAAATATCAAAGAAAAAAAGAAAGAAAGAAAAAGAAAGAATCAAAAAGAAAAAGAAAGAAAAAAAAAGAAAGGAATGATCAAGAAAGAAAGAAAGAAAAAAGAAAGAAAGAAAAATCAAAGGAAGAAAGAAAGAAAATATCAAGGAAAGAAAGAAAGAAAGAATCAAAAGGAAGAAAAGAAAGAAAATATCAAGGAAAGAAAGAAAGAAAGAAAGAATCAAAGGAAGAAAGAAAGGAATGATCAAGGAAAGAAAGAAAAATGAATCAAAGGAAAGAAAGAAAGAAAATATCAAGGAAAGAAAGAAAGAAAAAGAAAGAAAGGAAGAAAGAAAGGAAAAGATCAAAGGAAAAAGGAAGAAAAAGAAAGAATCAAAGGAAGAAAGAAAGGAAAATATCAAGGAAAGAAAGAAAGAAAGAATCAAAGGAAGAAAAAGAAAGAAAATAATCAAAGAAGGAAAAAATGAAAGAAAAAGAAAGAATCAAAGGAAGAAAGAAAGAAAATGATCAAGGAAAAAGAAAGAAAAGGAAAGAATCAAAGGAAGAAAGAAAGGAATGATCAAGGAAAGAAAGAAAGAAAGAATCAAAGGAAGAAAGAAAGGAAAATATCAAGGAAAAGAAAGAAAGAATCAAAGGAAGAAAGAAAGAAAATATCAAGGAAAGAAAGAAAGAAAGAATCAAAGGAAGAAAGAAAGGAATGATCAAGGAAAGAAAGAAAGAATCAAAGGAAGAAAGAAAGAAAATATCAAGGAAAGAAAGAAAGGAAGAAAGAAAGAATCAAAGAAAGAAAGAAAGAATCAAAGAAAAAGAAAGAAAATATCAAGGAAAGAAAGAAAAAGAAAAAGAATCAAAGGAAAGAAAGAAAGAATGATCAAGGAAAAAGAAAGAAAAGAATCAAAGGAAGAAAAAGAAAGGAAAAAAAGAAAGGAAAGAAAAAGAAAAAAAAAAAATCAAAGGAAAGAAAGAAAAGAATCAAATGAAAGAAAGAAAGAAAGAATCAAAGGAAAGAAAGAAAAATCAAAAAGAAAGAAAGAAAGAAAAAAGAAAAAAGAAAGGAAATGATCAAGGAAAGAAAGAAAGAAAGAATCAAAGGAAGAAAGAAAGAAATGATCAAGGAAAGAAAGAAAGAAAAGAAAGGAAAAAAGAAAGAAAATATCAAGGAAAGAAAGAAAAAAGAATCAAAGGAAAAAGAAAAAAGAAAATAAAGGAATCAAAGAATCAAAGGAAGAAAGAAAGAAAATGATCAAGGAAAAAGAAAGAAAAAGAAAGAAAGAATCAAAAAAGAAGAAAGAAAGGAAATATCAAGGAAAGAAAGAAAGAAAAAGAAGAAAGGAAAGGAATGAAAAAGAAAGAAAATATCAAGGAAAGAAAGAAAGAAAATCAAGGAAAGAAAGAAAAGAAAGAAAAAGGAAAAGGAAATCAAAAAGAAAGAAAGAAGGAAGAAAGAAAAGGAAAATAAAGGAAAGAAAGAAAGAAATCAAAGGAAGAAAGAAAGAAATGAAAGAAAGAAAGAAAGAAAAGAATCAAAGGAAGAAAAAAGGAATGATCAAGGAAAGAAAAAGAAAAAAGAATCAAAGGAAGAAAGAAAGAAAATATCAAGGAAAGAAAGAAAAGAAAAGAATCAAAGGAAGAAAAGAAAGGAATGATCAAGGAAAGAAAGAAAAAGAATCAAAAAGGAAGAAAGAAAGAAAATATCAAGGAAAGAAAGAAAGAAAGAATCAAAGAAAAAGAAAGGAATCAAAGGAAGAAAGAAAGAATCAAAGGAAGAAAGAAAGAAAATATCAAGGAAAGAAAGAAAGAAAGAATCAAAGGAAGAAAGAAAGAAAATATCAAGGAAAGAAAGAAAGAAAGAATCAAAGGAAGAAAGAAAGGAATGATCAAGGAAAGAAAGAAAGAATCAAAGGAAGAAAGAAAGAAAATATCAAGGAAAGAAAGAAAGAAAGAATCAAAGGAAGAAAGAAAGGAATGATCAAGGAAAGAAAGAAAGAATCAAAGGAAGAAAGAAAGAAAATATCAAGGAAAGAAAGAAAGAAAGAATCAAAGGAAGAAAGAAAGAAATGATCAAGGAAAGAAAGAAAGAAAGAATCAAAGGAAGAAAGAAAGAAATGATCAAGGAAAGAAAGAAAGAATCAAAGGAAGAAAGAAAGGAATGATCAAGGAAAGAAAAAAGAAAAAGAAAAAGAAAGAAAATGATCAAGAAAGAAAGAAATGATCAAAGGAAAGAAAGAAATCAAGAAAAGAAAGAAAGAAAGAATCAAAGGAAGAAAGAAAGAAAAAAATGAAAGAAAGAAAGAAAGAATCAAAGGAAAGAAAGAAAAGAAATGATCAAGGAAAGAAAGAAAGAAAAGAAAAAGAAAGAAAATATCAAGGAAAGAAAGAAAGAAAAGAATCAAAGGAAGAAAGAAAGGAAATGATAAAGAAAGAAAGAATCAAAGGAAGAAAGAAAGAAATGATCAAGGAAAGAAAGAAAGAATCAAAGGAAGAAAGAAAGAAATGATCAAGGTAAGAAAGAAAGAAAGAATCAAAGGAAGAAAGAAAGAAATGATCAAGGAAAGAAAGAAAGAAAGAATCAAAGGAAGAAAGAAAGAAATGATCAAGGAAAGAAAGAAAGAATCAAAGGAAGAAAGAAAGAAAATATCAAGGAAAGAAAGAAAGAAAGAATCAAAGGAAGAAAGAAAGGAATGATCAAGGAAAGAAAGAAAGAAAGAATCAAAGGAAGAAAGAAAGGAATGATCAAGGAAAGAAAGAAAGAATCAAAGGAAGAAAGAAAGAAAATATCAAGGAAAGAAAGAAAGAAAGAATCAAAGGAAGAAAGAAAGAAAATATCAAGGAAAGAAAGAAAGAAAGAATCAAAGGAAGAAGAAAGAAAATGAAAGGAATGAAAGAATCAAAAAAAGAAAGAATCAAAGGAAGAAAGAAAGAAAATATCAAGGAAAGAAAGAAAGAAAGAATCAAAGGAAGAAAGAAAGAAAATATCAAGGAAAGAAAGAAAGAAAGAATCAAAGGAAGAAAGAAAGGAATGATCAAGGAAAGAAAGAAAGAATCAAAGGAAGAAAGAAAGAAATGATCAAACAAACACGGAATTACAGGCCGAAAGAATGAAAGGAAAAAGAATAAGGAGAAAGCAAGACCAGGGGAAAAATAAATAAATGAATAAAAAAGAATGATAAGAATGAAAGAATGAAAAAAAAGGAAACAGACAAAAAAAGAAAAAAAAAAGAATGAAAATGACATGAATGAAGCAGAAAAAACAAATGGAAAGAAAGAAAGAAAGAAAGAATAAAAGAATGAAAGAAAGAAAGAAAGAAAGAAAGAATGAAAGAAAGAATGAAAGAAAGAAAGAAAGAATGAAAGAAAGAAAAAAAGAAAGAAAGAAAGAAAGAATGAAAGAAAGAATGAAAGAAAGAAAAAATGAAAGAAAGAAAAAAGCAAGAATGAAAGAAAGGAAGAATGAAAGAAAGAATGAATGAAAGAAAGAAAGAATGAAAGAAAGAAAGAAAGAATGAAAGAAATAATGAAAGAAAGAAAGAAGAAAGAAAGAAAGAATGAAAGAAAGAACGAAAGAAAGAATGAAAGAAAGAAAGAATGAAAGAAAGAATCACTCTTTGATATAAAAGATGAATAAAAACGAAAATAAAAGAGTAGAAAAAAAGAAAGAAAGAACCAAAGAAAGCACCAGAGAAAGAAAGAAAGACTAAAAATAAGGGAATCAAATAAACAAAGAAAGAGAGATAAAATCAAAGAAAGAATGAAATTATCATGCTTTGATAGAAAAGAAAGAAGCAAATAAAAATGAAAAGGCTGGAAAAAATAAACGAATAGATAAAATGAAAGACAACTCAAAGAAAGTAAGATAGAAAGAAAGAAAAACAAAGAAAGAGTCAAAGAAAGGAGGAAAGAGAGAAAGAATGAAAGAAAGAAGGAAAGAAAGACAGATAACATCAAAGAAAGAAAGACAAAAATAATTAAAAAGGAAAGATAGGAACAAAAAAGAAAGAAAGAATCCAAGAAATAAGAAAGAAAGAAAAAAAGAAAGAATCAAAGGAAGAAGGAATCAAAGAAAGAAAGAATAAAGTTTTGATACAAAGGAAAGAAGGAAATAAAAGGAAAGGACTTGAAAAATTCAAAGAATAGATAAAAATAAAGAAAGAATCACCGAAATAAAAAAGAAAGAAAGAATCAAAGAAAGAAGAAAGAAAGAAAAAAGAAAGAATCGAAGAAAGAAGAAAAGATATTAAAAATCAAAGAGATAAATAAATAGTCAAAGAAAGAAAAAAGAAAGAAAGAAAGAAAGAAAAAAGAATGATAAACGAAAAAAAAGATAGAAAGAAAAGATCCAGAGAGAAAATAGAAGGAAAATAAAGAATGAAAAAGCGGAAAAAAATGAAAGAAAGAATCAAAGAAAGAAGAAAGAAAAAAAAATGAAAGTTTCCCTAAGCGAAAATTTATAAGTAAAAGAAAGAAAGAAAAGGGGAGAATGAAAATTTCAGCAAGAAAAATGAATGAATAAAAGAAAGAAAGAAAGAAAGAAAGAAAAGTCACTCTTTCCTAGAGAAGATAGAAGTAAAATAAAGAATGAAAGAGCTGGCAAGAATGAATGAATGGCTAAAAGAAAGAGAGAACGAAGGAAAGAAAAAAGAAAGAAAGAAAAAGAATGAAAGGATCACTTTTGAAAGAAAGGAAGAAGGAAAGTTTCGATAGAAAAAATGAATAAATAAAAGAAAGAAAGGGTTGCGTTTTGAACGAAGACAGAAAGAAAGAAGGAAAATGAAAGAATGAAAATTTCCATACGAAAAATGGACGAATAAAAGTAAGTAAGCAAGAAACAAAATTTGCTACAAAATATAGAAAAAAGCATGAAAGAAAGAAAGAAAGAAAGAAAGAAAGGAAGAAAGAAAGAATGGAAGGAAGGAAGAAAGAAAAAGAAAAATGTTTCGATAGGAATAATGAATGAATAAAAGAAAGACAGAAAGAAAGAATCACGTTTTGAAAGAAAAACAAACAGAAAGAAACTAAAAGAAAGAAAGAATGAAAGTGTCGGTAAAAAAAAAATGAATGGATAAAAGAAAGAAAGAAAAAAAGAAAGAAGGAAAGAAAATAAGGAAGAAAGAAAAAAAAGAATTTTGCTACAAAGGATAGAAAAGGAATGAAAAAGTAAAGGTTTGGTAAGAATGAGTGAATAAAAGAAAGAAAGAAAGAAAGAAAGAAAGAAAGAAAGAATGAAATACAGGAAGGACTTAAGGTTCGATATAGAAAAGTAAAAGAATGGATGACTGTTTTGTTTGAATGATTAACTGAATAAAAGTAAGATTGAAATAAATAAACGGTGACTCAAAGTTTGATGAGAAAAAAATGAAAAAAAGAATGAAAGACTTGGTCGGAAGAAAACAATTTGATGCGTGATATAAAATAATAAAGAAACAAAGAACATCTTAATAAAAACGAAAGAAGAAAATATTGATGAGAAATCCAGAGTGATACACAGAAAGGAAGAAGCGAGAAAGAAGGAAGGAAAATATTAACAGAAAAAAATTAAGAAATAATAAAAGAATGAAAGAAAGAAATTTTGATAAAGGCCAACAAAGAGAAAGAAATAAACAAAGAATTGAGGAAAATTGTTAAGAGAAAGAAAGATTGAGTTAATGAAAAAAGAAAAAAAATTATCGAAACAGAAAGAAAGAAACAAAGAAAAAAGAAAGAATGAAAGAAAAACGTGGAAAGAAAGAAAAAACTGATACACGGAAAGAAAGAAAGAAAGAAAAAAGAAAGAAAGAAAGAAAGAATGAATGAACAAATGAGTGAAAAAATGAGTGAAAAATGTTAAAAAATAGAAAGACGAAAAGAAAGAAAAATGTTGAAAAAAAACGGGAATGACAGGCAGATAGAAAGAAAGAAAGAAAGAAAAATGTTGAAAGATAGACGAACCGAAAGAAAGAAACAAAAAAGACGAAAGAAAGAAAGTAAAGAAAAATATTAAAAGGCAGACGAACAGAAAGAAAGAAAGAAAGAAAGTAAGAAAGAAAAAAGAATGAAAAATATTAAAATATAGAAAGATGAAAATAAAGAAAAATGTTGAAAGAAAGGATAAAAATTGAAAAAAAAAAGAAATGAGACAGACAGATGGAAAGAAAGAAAGAAAGAAAGAAAGAAAGATAAATGTTAAAAGACAGACAAACGGAAAGAAAGAAAGAAACAAACAAAAATGTTAAAAGACAGACTGACGGAAAGAAAGGAAGAAAGAAAAAACGAAGAAAGAATAAAAACTGTTAAAAGATAGAAAGACGAAACGAAAGAAAAACGTTGAAAGAAAGGAAGGAAAATATTGAAAAAAGTAACAAGAATGACAGAGAGTTGCAAAGAATGAAGAAAAAACGAAGAGAGAAAGAAGAAAGAAGAAAAAAAGAAAAATGTTGTAAAAAAGAATGAAAGAAAAATGTTGAAAGACAGAAAGCCGGAAAGAAAGAAAGAAAAATGGACGAAATAAAGAAATTAAAGAAAAATATTAAAAGGCAGACGAACGGAAAGAAAGAAAGAAAGAAAGAAAGAAAGAAAGAAAAAAGAAAAGAATGAAAAATGTTAAAAGATAGAAAGACGAAAATAAAGAAAAATGTTGAAAGAAAGGAAGAAAAATGTGGAAAATAGAAACAAGAATGGCACAAAGAAAGAAAGAAAGAAAGAAAGAAAGAATGAATGAAAGAATGAAAGAAAGGAAGAAAAAAGAAAGAATGAAAGAAAGAAAAATGTTGAAAGAAAGGAAGAAAAATGTGGAAAAAGAAACAAGAATGGCACAAAGATAGATAGAAAGAAAGAATGAAAGAAAGGAAGAATGAAAGAATGAAAGAAAGAAAAATGTTGAAAGAAAGGAAGAAAAATGTGGAAAAAGAAACAAGCATGACACAAAGAAAGAAAGAAAGAAAGAAAGAAAGAAAGAAAAAAAGAAAGGAAGAATGAAAGAAAGAAAAGTGTTGAAAGAAAGGAAGAAAAATGTGGAAAAAAGAAACAAGAAGTACACAAAGAAAGAAAGAAAAAAGGAAGAAAAAAAGAAAGAATGAAAGAAATAGAGAAAAATGTTGAAAGGAAGGAAGGAAGGAAAATGTGAAAAAAGAAACAAGAATGGCACAAAAAAAGAAAGAAAGACAGAAAGAAAGAAAGAAAGATGTTGAAAGACAGAGAGAGGGACAGAAATGAAAAAAATGGACGAATGAAAGAAAGTTAAAAAAAATGTTAAAAGGCAGGGGAACGGAAAGAAAGAAAGAAAGAAAGAAACAAAGAAACAAAGAAAGAACGAAAGAAAGAAAATTTTGAGGAAAAGACAGACCATGAAAAAAAAAAGAAGAAATAAACAAAGAGAGGAAAAATATTAAAAGAAAGAAAGCGAGAAAATATATAATCAAAAGAAATAATGCTTTTGTGTAAAATGAAAAATATCGAAACTAAAGAAAGAAACAAGGAAAAAAACAAAAAAAAAAAAGGAAAGAATAACGTAGAAAGAAAAGAAAGAAAGAAAAATCTTGAAAGACAAACGGAAATAAATAAATAAAAAGAATGTAAGTAAAGAAAAAAATGTTAAAAAAATAGACGGAAAGAAAGAAATAAAAAAAGAAAAAATGCTTATAAGGTAGACGAACGGAAAGAAAAAAAGAAACATGTTGAAAGACAGTCAAACGGAAAGAAAGAAAGAAAGCGTGTTAAAGCACGCAATCCTGGCTATTTAGAACGCATTCAATGCACTTATAGCGGGATCATTCATCAATATATTGTGTGTTCGATCTTCATCTGGTGGAGTAGCCCCAAATCTAACTGAAGTTATCGATTTTCTAATATAGGTCTAACATCTGCAGCTGGCCGAACTTCCTTTAATCAAGGCAGAATTCAATCAAAAGCTTTTATTCCCATTCACGTGTTTGTATTTCAACTAATCCATTCTCCAGGTACAAGTCATGTGACCCAAACTTCTTTTAATCCGAAGAACAGTTGATTAAAATCTTTCATTCATATTGCATTTCATTCATGTCTGCATGTGTTTCTCTCAGCTTGTTGTTCAAATACAAGACCTGAACTCCGACTATAATGCATTGTCAATTGTGGTCTTTTGTCTTTTTGAAGCCTGTTCTTTTATTGCCCTCTCTCGCCAATAAGATCTTCCAGTTTCCTTCACCTTCGACAGCTCCTTGCGTCGTAGTGGCTTTGTCGCCTTGTCAAAATATCCACAGACTTTCAGAAATGGTATGTCCCATCTGTCGCGCGCAACCGGGATTCACATTGAATCAACAGAGATATCAGAGCAAAAGTGAGAAAACATTGGAAATTTATGTTCAAATTCTACCTGGAAACTAGAAAAAATGGTCTGAACTAGAGAAAAATGAAATGAAAACAAATCAAAGAACTTTCGCTGGTGTTAAAGGACTCCCCCTCACACACAAACACACATAGACATACGCGAAAATACACACAAACACACAGACGTATATATGAGAGGAGATCAATAAGTTCATAGCCTGACACATCGTTATTAGCGCTACTTTGATCTGAAATGTTTACAGTACAATTTTAAATCAATGCTATCAATATGCAACACTGTATTAAGTGCACTGTCAAGTAAGAACGTTATGTTGAAATTTAAATATTTGTGTAAAATTGTTTTTACATCTACCGGCTACAGATGTAGTAATGTGCCAACGTTGCAAAGTTGGATCAATAATAAGAGGACGGGCTGAAGAGTTCATCGGCTGAAGATGAAGGGGTGATGCTCGAGCTGTGAAATTTTGCATGGATTCAAGTCAAATATTCTTATTAACAGTTGCATTGTTTCTTTCCAGGTACAAGGGCAGGCTGAATAGTTCATAGGATAACTATGAAGGTGTGATGCTAGAGCTGTGAAATCTTGCATGCATTAACCTCAAATTTTCTGATTAATAACCGCGTTGTTTCTTTCCGGGTATGAGGGTAGGCTGAAAGGTTCATGGTTGATTATGAAGAAGTGATGCCAGAGGTGTAAAATCTTGCATTCATTTCAACTCTTCTTAATAACTTCATTGTTCCTTTCCGGATACGAGGGTGCACTGAAAAATCTATCTGCTGACTACGAAGAACTGGTGCTAGAGACGTGAAATCTTGGATGCATTGATTTTAAGTCTTTTTATTAAAAACGGCATTGTTTCTTTCAACGTACGATAGTAGGCTGAAAAGTTCACAGGCTGACTATGAACTGTAAATTATACATGCATTCATTTAAACTTTTCTTATTAATAACTACTTTCTTCCATTACAGGCACGAGGATGAAAACTTCATAGGCTGAAGAGGATGGAATGAAACTAGAACTGTAAAATCTTACATGCATTCATTTCAGCTTTTCTTATTAATAAGTGCATTCTTTTTTTTTCCAGGTACAAGCCTGGGCTGAAAAATTTATAGGCTGGCCATGAAGCAGTGTGTCTACAGCTGTTAAATCTTGCATGCATTCATTTTAACTATTCTTATTAACAATGCATTGTTTTTTCCAACGTATGAGGGTAGGCCGAAAAGTTCAGAGGCTGAGTATGAAGGAGTGAAGCTAGAAGTGTGAAATCTTATATGCATTCATTTCAACATTTCTTATTAATAATTGCATTCATTCTTTCCGGGTACGTGCCTGAGCTGAAAACTTCATAGGATGAAGAGGAATGTATGACGCGAGAACTGTCAAATCTTACATGCATACATTTCAACTTTTCTTATTAATAACTAGCAGCACTGCCCGGCGTTGCCCGTGCTTGATTCAAAAATCGTACGATTCATACAGTAATCGCTATCACTTGACATAAATATTTTTGCTCTTCCTTGACTTTAACGGAGTGCCCTTTGCCGTGCTGATGTTGCTACATGCCTTACTTCTTGCCTATCTCACACTGCGAATTTTTTCTAAGCTCTATACTAAACATTAAATCTCTTACGAAAAAAGAACTAAACAAAATGAACACAAAACGATCAGCTTTAAAAAAAGGAGTCGTAACTAGAAAAATCGAATGAAAAAAGAATGTTAACAACAAATACTTTTTCACACCCAACCCAGTTCTGCGGAATCAGAATCAACGTTGAGTTTAAGCAAGCGAATGAGCCAATTGGAGTAAAGTGCCATGCAGATTTAAATTTTTCCCACTTGTAACGAATGCAGCTATCGATTTTTTTTGCATGCTAGCATGCTAGTTAACATTCGTGTCAGTCAGCTGTTGGCTCACACGCTGGCCAATAGAATCTTCCTGTCTTTTCGTGGCAGCCAGCTATAGGCTTTAACTCTGGCCAGTAGAAAATGGCCGCAAACTACATGAAAACTGCCGTAGAAGCATGAAAAAATCGATTATTTCCACTATCGATGGGAGTTGGGAAATGCAAAGTCGGTCTTGGGCTTTCCGCTAGCTTGGAGCATGTGCCTGTAAATTTTGGTGCAAATCCGTCGAAAATTGCGGCCGTGCATTCGTTACACACACACACACACACACACACATCCTGCCTTTTATAGATAGAGATTGCATTGTTTCTTTCCAGGAATGAGCCTGGGCTGAAATCTTTATATGCTGACGATGACGTTAGAGCTGTGAAACTTGAATGCATGAATTTTAACTCGTCTTATTAATAACTTCATTGATTCTTTCCTGGTAAACTGAAATTTGACTTTGCTAAGAAGATTCGAAAAGTAAGTAGTAGCGACTAATCTTGGAAATTTCGCATCACGGTGTTATGAAGTACCTGCAGAAAAATGGTTTAGTCCCCAAAGACCTTCTTGTTAACATGGTTGTTACATTAGGGAACGATACTCTAGTTTTATCAACAGTTCAAAAAGTCGACAGCTGAATTTAGGAAGGGGAGGGTGATTCTTGAATATGAATCTGGACATCCAACAATGCCAGCACCGAAGCTAACAAAGATCCAAATGCACATCATGTTGCATGACAGGCGATTGAGCAAAAATCAAATAGCCAAAGCTATTAGCATATCTCTTGAGAGAGTTGAGAATATTCTTCATAATTAACTTGGCTTGACCATCAGCTCGATGGTTCCGAAGAGTTGGAATTAATGCATGCAAGATTTCACAGTTCTAGCATCACTCCTTCACAGTCAGCCTATACACTTTTCTTGATGGTTCTTGAATAGACTTTGAAGGTAGAAGTCAGAGTTTGAATGTTGGTACCATTGCTGAATACCGGAATGATCTTTTCCCTCTTTCCATTGCTCACTTGGGAAGAGATAGTGAGATTGGCATAAAACGATTTTAACCTGTTTTTCTTTCTAGCTGAATAAATCAAAGGGATTTGCAGTGATCCATACCCCAAATGGTGTCAAGATGGCGAAACATCTTAAATAAAAACCTGAAAAAAAAAAAAAAGAATCTCAATTAATTTAGTGTTTTTTTTTTTTCTGGGGTGGAGAATTATGCCATGCTGTTATACGATATGGACAATTTTGCTGTTACACTCTATCTATCTATCTATCTATCTATTTATCTATCTATCTATCTATCTATATGTGTGTGCGCGTGTGTGTGTGTGTGTGTGTGTGTGTGTGTGTGTGTGCGCGCATATGATGAATACAAACCTTATTTTTCGTGGTTAAATTGTGTTGTTTTCCCTTTACGTTTTCCGTTTTACTTTTTTTTTCTTTTTCTCTTAAACAGGGAAAATATAAATTTTACTATTTAATAAATTTTTAAAAAGAGCACATCTTTTTCGAGAAATTTTGTTATTTAAATTTTCTACATTTCAGATCATTGTTCTTGTAACCGGGTAGAATTTGAACATAAATTTCCAAACGCTTCGGAATTGTTCTGTGGTTTGGTTTGGTTTGGTTTGGTTTACTGCATATCAACCACAATGGGTTATTTAATATCGACAAAATTTTTTACTGTTGGTGATATTTTTTCGCACATGTATTGCTAATAATATTTTTTCTTCAAAAAATCGATTTCTGGTACCATTTTTTTCCGAAAATGTATAGCTGGTAATATTTTCTTTTTCAAAAAAGTATTGCTGGTAATAAATTTTCTACAAAAAATTTATTGCTGATAACAATTTTTTTACAAAGTATTTCTGGTATTAAGACCTATTTTTACACTTTCATAGTGCTTTGACCCCAGTTTGGGGGTTAATTATTTGCCCATATGTGGGTCCCTAACAGGTGCTATCACACCAGGTCAGGGTGGAGCTGGGAACACCAGCAATTAAGAGTTGATTCCACGCTCCACAAAACCTGTTCAGAGGCCTTGCTGATCAGGAGGTTTTCAGGATCGTGCAACCACATCTTAATTGCTGGTATTCCCAGGTCCATCCTGTTAGGGTCCCAGTTATGAGCAAATAGTTAACATCCAAACTTGTGTAAAAATAGATTTCAATGCCAGAAATACTTTGTAATAAAAAAATTGTTACCAGCAATAATTTTTGAAGGAAATATTATTACCAGCTATACTTAAAAAAAAATACCAGCAATACAAACAGCTGTACATTCTTTGGAAATAAATATGACCAACTATAGATTTCTTCAAGGAAAAATATTCCCAGGAATAGATTTTTGAAGAAAAACATATTACCGGCAATAAAGATTTTGTAGGCATTAAATAAGCCATTGAGGTTGATATGCCGTAAGACAAACGAAACCAAACCCAAACTCTACCGTGT